AATGCTAACCCTAACCCTATGTGATGTCGGGTAAGTGACCTGTCGAGGAATGTCTTTCGGGGAATTGAGCGACAACCGTTCAGGGTTATGTACGAAATTGGATGCTAAGGTCTAACGCTAACTAAAAATTATTGAAATGAGCTTACATTAGGAGAGTGGAGGATTAAAAAAATGGGTTCTGAGATATTTCATTGAAGATTATTATATTGCTTTACGCATTAAATAATAACAGTGTATGATCTAATTATGGAACATAATTAACTATCGACTGAAATAAAAGATGCTAAACACATAGCGATAGATTAACAGTGTTGGCTGACGGTTTATCACATTCTTTTATCACATTATGTAATAAATAATATAATACAGGTATGTGGCATTACCGATAAACCGTTTACCAACACTGATGTGTTTTTCTTATCTGAACTAGACATTTTTTGGCCCAAACTTTTCTAAATTCTGACCAAAATTAAAATTTAATTTTTATTCTAAGCAGAATTTAGAGAAGTTTGGGCCAAAATGTCCGGTTTGATATTACCACCTTTTTAGAATTATTATTATCCAATGTCCTACTGTAATATAGGCATAAACATCCTGTTTGTTGAACTTCTAGGTACACACGCACGTATCTGATAAAAACTTAAAATGTCATAAGAGAAAAAAAATCTTATATATTGTAAGAATTTATAATCGGGCCATATTTTTAAAATTGCAAGTTGAGGCCTTTTATTTGTTCATGAAATAAAGAATTGTATAATTTGACAAACTATTACTTTGCTACTTATTATAATGCTACCACGATTTCTGCTACTATATGCCTAGTGCATTGAAAAAATTGCCTCCTGGATATCAAACAAATCGATGACTACATTTCCTGCAATCGGGTATGGCGGGTATGGTGGAGTACAACCTTCATAAGCACATTCTCGTGCAATCATCAAGGTACGCATTCCATGGGCAGAACAACCATTGTATAGCGCTCCATGTCCACTGATAGTCCCAAATTCGAGCTGGAAAAAACCCCCAATTTTGTTGGGTAAAGATGGATAATTATTATTTAGTAGGCTGATTAGGGTTCAGCACAGGGGCACAGTCATGCTCTTGGAGGCATGTCTAATTTTTGTCTCGAACTCTAGAGCTGATTCTTACCATTTGAATTGGCCGGTATCTTCCCAGTGCATGACCTGCTTGGATGCTTGCTCGACAACAAAATTTATAACACTATCAAGGATACAAGATGATATATTGAATGAATAGAAATGAAGTGAATTAGTGAATTTGCAACATGTTACTGAACTGTTAAGTGATGCAGGGGCTCCCATTTGTATCTGTCCCGTTATTCCATGGCCACAGTTTGAGCACGATCACATCCTCAGCACGGTTTGGGACCAACCAGAATATGAATTGACTTTCTGAACTACGTTTGCAAGACTTTGAGATCGGGCAACTTCAAATACAATAGTTGGCCAGGGATTACCCTGTATACCAAGATTGAGATTCGTATATTATATCTTGCAATGTTAATATATCAAAATACGTTATACCTGAGCATCACTTGGATTAGGTGATGGTTTAGACAAGCGACTGGGTATAAATGAAGCATCAGGCTGCCTGGCAGATATGTGTTCCAAACCAATACAAGCTGAATATAACAGTCCAAATGTTAATAATTGATTGATTGTTGCAAAAAACTTATAATTAAAAGTTATCCCATGTTTTTATAGGTTCTATTTTTGTAGAATCTACATGATCAAAAGTACATACTTTTTGCACTAGAAAGTTTAAAATGATTTTGAAAAGGTAGGCCGTGGAAAGCATGTTGAAATTGGGAAAAAACTCCACATGCGCAATCTCATGATCACTATTTGGCAATTCATATATGATTACAACACCGTTATCAAACTCCCAAAATCTGCTCGCATTCACAATTTCGCTTTTCTTATCATACTCATAGTACGTTACATCTTTTATAAGACGCAGAGACTGCCATTTTGATCGCAGGACTCTCCTCTACAACCTTTATTAGAAGTTTAAAAAGGTTTACATAGTAAAGAAAAACATTTTAGTTAAAAATCTCTAATTTAGAAATTTTACTATTCAAATCCAAACAGTTTGACAAACTTCAAATCAAACTCGGATCAAACTCAAATTTAACTAAAAGTTTGACAAATCAAATCAAACTTTAATGCTTCAAACTCAAATCAAACTCAAACTTAGTTAAAGTTTGATTTGAGTTTGATTTGTAGGAATCCTACCCATAAGATCTTTGTAAAAAAAGAACTTACTAAACTTACTTCTCCTTATATTCACCACAGCTTTCCATTCATGTATGCATTATGCTTACCTAAACTTACAAATAGTTATATCTTTCTAATAAAGTACCTTTCACCAAATACGTTAAATAACTTAACTTCACTTTGTAGTCTAAAAACTTACTTACTTGGTAACGATTTTACAAAAAAAGCATGGTAACTAAAATAATGAATTAAATCTTGAATGGATTAAGTTTGAGTTTGAAATTTCATCTCTAAAGTTTAATTTACTAACCTCTCATCTAATAGCTAATAAGAGAATTACTATTAACCACTCCATTTGCCGCTTAAGTTGAATGAGTTAAAAATTTCATCTCTAAAACTTACTAACTTCTTGCCCTAATAGCTTACTCACACCTCTATTAATAAAAGAATTACTAACCATTTCTGTTCCAATAATTACAGAATATAAGTAAAGTTATAGACACCATCACCACTCCAGTAACTCATAATATCACTTTATTTATTTATATCTACCTAATTCACCATTTCAATAACTAAATAAAATTAAAAAATTAAGCTTAGAAATGTCAAATAAAAGAATTACCACTAACTGTAAACTATTCACCTCTAATTAAATAACCTCTTTCATATAGTATTCGAAAGCTTTCCACTAATTCACTTATACTTACTAGCTTTACTTACACCAATAATCTATTCCAGTAATATCCAAAACTTTCTACTTAAGTTACTGAGCAAAAGAACATGCTTACAGTAACTATCATAACTAATAATATGAACTTATACAAATTGCTTATAGTTGATATTACTTACTATTAAATTTTATAATTTAAGCCTACTATTGGGAAATTCAAAATAAACTGTATTATAACTAGGGTAATATTTGAATGCTCCAAAGTGTCAGAAAAATAAAATATCAGAAAAATTAGATATTAATTGACAAAATCAAAAAAATCATTTATACTGTAATTAGGGTAGCTTTGTATTTACAATCATAATAAAACAAATACATATATTATTCATACAATGTCATATAGTCAGTGTGCTAAATGTGTATTATCTAATTATTAAAAATCATTTTTCACATAATTGGTCTATCTTTCAAGCCTATCTAACTAGATTTATGCATGTAAAAGGTTCTAAATTTAAATATGGATATTCTGTTTTTATACATGTAATATAAAAAATTTGCAACTGATTTTATATATATTAAATTTCAAATATTGTACTCTACTCTTAAATGATAAATATATAATTTAATATGTATTATATATACTATATAATAAAATAACAATTATTAATTTCATATTCAATAAACGAACTCTCTCTGCTGATCCTTTTTACCAAAATTAGATTTAAAGAAAATCATCAAATTTCACAAAAACAAGTTAACAAACTACCAAAACTCTTCTAAGAAAAAAGAAACCTTTGCATAAAACAAAG